GTTTTCGAAGTATTCTCCGTTCAACTTAATGCACTTTTCCATTCGTGCAAAATCAACCAATCATTAAAACAGTAATTCCTGTTTGAAGTTGATGTTGATAAAATGGCTGATTTGTCCACAGCTTCTTCAGGTGATGAAAATCTCTGTCTACGCAATTTATTCTTTATTTTAGGGAAAGTATAGAAATCATTAGGGCTTAGGTCGGGGCTGTACGGCGGATGGTCTAATAATTCTATGTTTTCTTGCTCTAAACTCTTTTGTTCTGTGTGCGGTGTGAGAACTCGCATTGTCGTGATGGAGGATGATGCGGCGGTTGCAGTTCTCTTTACGGAGTTCAGAAACGACCTGTGGCAAACAAATGCTAGCATACTATTCTGCATTAACCGTTCTTTGTCCCTCAAAAGGAATAGTCGTAACATGGCCGGTTTTGGAGACAAACGTGGCCACCATTGTTTTTGCAACACTCCGTGAACGAACATTTTTTGTTGGCTTTAACTCATTTTCGAACACCCAAACTCGTGACTGGTTTTTTTGTTACGGGTTCGTACGCATATATCCAGGATTCACCTGATACGATGTTGTATACAGCATTTGAGGATCCTGCGTGGAATCTTTTGAGAGTTCTGACGCACCAAGTAATGCGAGCCGCTTTTTGCTCTTCACAGAGCGAATGCGGTATCCATCGGGAAAACAACTTTTTTACACCTAATTGTTCATGCAAGATTATTTGTATTTGACTCATGTCAATGTCTAAAGTTGCCTGAATTTCGCGGTATGTCACATGTCGATCTTCCTCAATCAGCTTACTCACAGCATCAACGTTTTCTTGGGTGACTGCAGTTTTTGGACGACCTTGACGGGGATCATCACTGAGCTTGACACGTCCACGTTGAAATTCAGCAAACCAGCGATAAATTGTGGTTTTGGATGGGGCTTCATCACCAAATGCAGAAATCATCCGGTCAACACACCTGTTTTTGTTTTAAACCACTTCGAAAGTCATAATAAATCATCGTTCTTGAATTTTCTCGAGTCAATTCCATTTTCTCAACGACTAAACAAGTTTGATAAAACCTTGTGGGAAGACCGAGAATCTTTTTTAAATAAATAAATGGTATTCGATTTTTAAAACCAAGGGGTTTTCAATTAAAAAGATTTTAATATGACAGGAACAGTGGAAATATTCTATTCCCGATACTTTTAGTGCAGCCCTCGTATATTAAGGGCTGGGTCTGTTGGACCCATTAGCGAATCCGTAAGTGTTAATGATGATCTTGTTAATGATGATCTTAATTTTGTTAAAACCAAACTTCTTAGATTCGAGTACAGATTTTGTTAAAACCGTACCGAATATTTTCAAAATTCAAAATTCGGTCTGGAGGACATTATTATTTATAGTTACTGTTATAGTTAGGATGAAAAACAAATGTTCCTTGAGGATACACTTTTGAATATTCCTCAAACCTCCAGCCACTGAAGCTGTTTTGGTCATACCAAATGAATCAAAGCTATGTTAAATGCATTTAACAGTACTTCATATTTCTAACAAAAGCTTGTATCGTGACTATTTAGGTTACTACTTAGTGCCAAGACAACCAGCAGATTGAGGTTTGATATTATATTTTATTAACCATTTAATCTAGTCTCACACAAAATTTTTTATTTCATTCGCGATTTAGGTATAAAAACATAATAAAAGAGAAGCAGACCAAATGTTTAACCTGCTAATTATTTTCGAGCAAATAAAAGTTTTATTTATATCTCAAGTAAGTAACTCTGTAAGATAAAATTTATTACGTGCCATCTTTATGGCAATGACAATTGAGACATTTTACATCATTTCTTTAAATGATTTAAAATTAACCATAGTTTTTTTACGCACCCACGGGACGATATGGGGTAGTCGATATTCTTACACCGCCATTACACGGTTAATAAAAATAAAGCAAAGCCTTTAAATGTCTGTAACAATATAAATTCAATTAAATAATATAGATTCTGCACTAAAAACTGTGAATTATCAACAGTTTTAATGTTATTCTTTATTTTTAGAACCAGTATGTATGTTAGATGAAAAAAGTATAGAAGTTTAACTGGTTTATTAAATAACCTGTTTTAATACACTCCAATGCCGTTTTAACTACTACAACCACAGAGTAAATAATATAACTTCAGAACACAATTACTGCATTACCACCATACAAATTATTATGCTTATCAGCTTAAAAATCTGGATTTTTTTTTGGATTTGGATTGGAAAAAATTACTGTCAATGAAATCATATTTTAGTCATTAAAATCTACTGACGATTTTGACTTTCTAGCATCCGAAACATATCGTAAGATATAATTAATCACATCAATAATTTAATATGATAATAGACAGAAAAATTGCTGAAATAATTCAAACATTATCACAATTATATGACCTGAAAATCAGCATCTTCCTGATAATGTAAAGATATATTTAATTAATATTTGTTTCATATTTAAGTAACAGAACACAAAAGTTAGCTCTTCCGGGTCGATAGTACAAATGTATACAAGAAACAGGAAGGGGCCGAGAATTGAGTCTTGAGGCGTGCCTCAAGACTCAATTCTCGGCCCCTTTCTGTTTCTTGTATATATTAATGACTTACCTTAAATAGTAGGGGATAACCATGATTTGCTGATGACACTTCATTAATTTTCAAATTAAAACAACAATTATTAAAATATTACGAAATAAATAATGCTATATCTAAATTAGTAAATTGGTTTAATGTTAATAACTTCCATTTAAATGGCACATAAACGAGATGTATGAAATTCATGACTCCAAATGTCAAACATTTAAATAATAATGTAATATTAAATGAGGAGGAACTGAGTCTTGTCGATACCACCATTTTTCTTGGAATAACACTACACGCGAAGCTTCAATGGAGCCACCATATATCAAAATTAGCAAGCAGACCTAGTTCTGCAGCATATGCTGTAAAAAGTCTATCTTACTAGTGTGGAAACATCTAGTTATTTACTTTAGCTATTTCCATAGCATAATGTCGTATGGTATTTTGCTATGGGGACACGCGACTGACACTGAAATTATATTTGTTTTACAGAAGAGACTTGGTGTGATAATAATAAATAAATGAACAAATTGTGACTTATTACTACTAACTTACCACTCAGCGGTTTTACCCACGTCCAAGTTGTAATATCCAGGCAGGCCCTCGCTTATTATGAGATGGCATAGTACGGAGCTCAAGAATAACTTAAAAAAACTGCGTGGTGCCCAACCTACCTAAGCGTCTTCCTTATACGGCAATCTAAGGGAAGGGGCCTATGTTCAGACATGGACTTTGGATTTTTGTATTGGCTGGTAACGGTAATATAGGTATGTAATATTTTACACCCACAATATAATAAGTTATTAAATTTAATAGTAGCTTCTAAAACTGGTCGGATTTCAATTTATAATAACTTATTATGCCAACCCTAATCCTGGCCTAGCCATTCGGTATACGTCGAATCAAGGTTCGACTACAGTTTCCGCACTCTCGTTCACTGTACTGTTGTTTTCTTTAAACTTGTTTACTGTTGTCATCTTTACTATTTAGTTCTTTATCATAAAAACTTTAATAAAGGTTACTAAAATAATACGCAATGTTAAAAATCCAAAAAGGATCATAATTTATTTATAAAATGATATATACACTTTACAATTGACCGAACAACTCCGAACACAAAAGGTCCATTACAGAATCTGTTTTGTATTACTTATAAAAGCATTTTAAAGCCTTTCAAGTGTGGTGAATTTCATAAATATTTCTATATCACACAGATAAAATTTTCAAATATTAAAACAATATTTTAAAATTTGAATTGATACAATCCAGGATTCTATAATGACCTATGATGACTTCCAGGGCCGTATTTTATGATGCATTAGAACATCCTACACATAAATTTATGTTCATTGGTAGTTTTAATAAAATCTAATATGTACAGTGTGCTATTTACAAAATTATAAAATAAATTCACTGTCATTTTGCAGTAAAACATTTCCAATTTATTCTAACGACTCATATTGCTTTGTTTCCATTTACCACAATTTGATCAAGACAAAATGACAGAAAATAATGCAACTTGAGCATATAATATATTAATAATGCACATAAAATTTAATACACATATTTGTTGAAATTTAATAAAATTTCAATAGTTACGCTATCCTGGGAAATTAAACTGCAACAGTAAATGCCTTATAGATCCTTTAGCATTAAGACGTGGTATTATTTCACAAAAGGAGAACATTGTAATATAAACTATTTAAAAAAAATTGTAATATAAAATTTAAGCTGATGATGCTGTTGTTGTTATTGTTGTTGGTGATTATGATGATGGTGATGGTGGTGGGATGGTGGTGGGATGGTGGTGATGATGATGATGATAATGATTTCCTGGCCGACTAGAGCAACTAAATCCGAACACTATCAGAAATTAAAAAATTGTGTGGTCTATGCGACACACCTGTGTTAAGATCCGTGAGGTCGGTTTAGATGCAGTTTTAGACAGGAATAATTACAACATTGCGCAAGCGGATCATGTGTGAGAAGATTCTAAGACATGATGATCCGCGGTAAAATAACCATGTCCACTTATAATGCAGTTGTTATTTAGATCGACCTATAATATAACAAATAATACATTGTTTTTTAATAAACATAAATATAATTAATACTGTTAGGATTTTATCCCAATATTAATATAAGAAGTTCTGAATGCTAAAGGATGAATTCTAAATAAAATATATCAATCATGAATGAATATGCAACAATTAGGCTTTTAAAAGATATTTATATTAAGAGGTAACAACATTTAAAAGCTAATAAAATTCACTAGTAGAATTCTAGACATCTTTTAATTTATTTCTTTAATTAAAATTAGTACTGCAATTGTGGTAAATAGCTATTTTTATTGTAGAAAGTCTTTTTTTCACATTTCATTGCGCTGACACTAGCTGTGGTTATTAGTATTACTATACACAGAGTTCGCTATTCTCTTCATACTAATTGAGGCACTGTTTCCGTTTTTTTCTAGGCTTAACAAAAAGTCTTCTAACAATTTCGCGAGTCCCTTCCTTTTGAACCTCAAGGACTCACTTATAACATCACGTATCACTTCCTTTTTAATTTCCACACTACCCTTTAATTGCTTTAAACATTCGAATAATTTCGTAAAATCTGAAACAAAAAAATATTTGTTACATAACAAATCAGTTGCTCGAGCTATATATGTATATTCTATCTCCTTCCTGTACGTCGAATTAGTAAGCTGAATGGCATTGGGCCGGCTTAGAGCTTAGGTTCTCTAGTGGCAGCCTCGTAGCGGTAAACTAAGTGTAGGGTGTACCCTCACTAAATGGAGTGACAACCCAGTAAGATATGCAGGTGGCTTATGACCGTGCTTTGTAGCAATGTATGTGAAAGACTGATGATGAATGATGATGATGTCGCAAGAGTCAACCCCATCCCAGGTATGTCGAAAGAGTCCAGAGACAAATTCTACTAGATTAATTTTAATCGACTTAAAAAAAAGGAGGTACTCAATTTGACTGTATTTTTTATGTGTGTAACCTCAGAAATTTTTGTATGCAAACCAATTTTGATGGTTCTTTTTTATTTGAAAGTTGGTGCTTCACATGTGTTCCCATACAAATTTGATCAAGATCTGAGCAGTAGTTTTTGAGTTATATCCTTAATAATGCGTATTTAATTGACTTCGACTACATTGATGTTTTTTTCATTTTATTTAAATCGAAGTCGTTTGTACATTTTTTTATTTTACCCCTTGTATTGTATACATTGGACTTCAGCTTCATTGGCCATTGCTTTCACTGGCTCACCCTAAAAAATAACTCTACATATGCCAATGCTGACAATTTGAACTCACTGACACCCCATTACACTTGGGAGAAGTCTTTGTCTGGAAGTGAATCATTTGTAGATGTATATTTATAAAGACATACATTATTCGGTAAAAATATTTATTATACGATGTATGTATAATTAATACAAAACAAAAGCATTTTCTGAATAGTAATAATATAAAGTAGGATAGTCCTCTCTTCATGCCTAATGAAGATGTTTACGAATTTCATATTTAAATTAGCCTCTGTCTTCACTTTCACTTTACATTCCATTTTTAACTATATTTTCGAGATTAAAAACAAACTAAAATACCTCACCACGCCAGAATTTTTTTAATATAATTATCCATTTTAATAATACAAGTGGTAAAATTAAAAATTTTGTACAACCGACTTCAATATAAATAAAATGAGAACATTATCAATGTAGTCGAAGTCAATCAAATACGCATTATTACGGATAACTCAAAAACTAATGGTCAGATCTTGATCAAATTTATATGGGATCACATGAGAAGCACCAGCTTTCAAATCAAATAATAACGCACATTAACATAAAGAAATACAGTTAATTGAGAACCTTCTCCTTTTTTAAAGTCGGTTGAAAAAAAATACAGCATTGTCATAAAAATATTTCTTTAATTAATATTTTTGACAAATGTCTTATAGATCCTTTAGCATGTTTGCAGTGCTTGTGTAAGAAAATATAATATTTATATAGTACGGTTTTTTGTTTTAATTTTATCTTACATCAGTGTTGTTTAATATTCAACATTTTGTTTATACTACTATGACATATGATCTCCGTAGTATAAGAGTGATGTTTCTCCCCACCTCATCCCGTATCGGAAGAGGTGGGTGTCGCAAGATGGGGGCTTAGGGAAAAGCCCGAAAGAGCACGTAGCGTCCGATAGGATTTTAACCATCCATCTGATATTCATACCCGATTAAATATCCAAACCGTCGACAACCAACAGCGTCAAAAGAAAAGAATATGAATCATTCCTACAATGAGAGAGGTTCATGCCCGACAGTGGACTGTTCATTTGTTTTATAGAATACGAGTGACAAACGAGCACACAGTCCACCTGACGGTAAGTGGATGCTGTTGCTCATAGACATCTGCAATAATACTCTATTTATAATCAAAATAAGTATGCGTTGCCACCCTTAAGGACTAAGATGGAATGCCTCGTTTCTAGTACAAAGAGTCTCCGGTTCTCTACACTCACCATACGAAACATAACAGAATAACATTTGTTTTTATAAATTATTAGCGACCCGCCCGGTCCCCGGTCGAGCCAGTTTCGAGTTTTTGCGAGACTAACGGACAGCAATTGATTTTTATAATAGAGATTAATACTTTGGTGTATTATTAAAATTACCAATTACTATTAGTAATCTGGCCTATTAAATGAATCATTAAATTGTTGTAGTGGTATAATAATAATAAATTGTAAATGATTGTACCAACCTCTCCCTGGTCGTCGTACAGCACGATAGACTTCGGAGCGAACGTTAAGATTATGCTTTGTGATGTCCGCGATCTCTTTTCGCGAAGGCTGAGGCGGCAATAGAAATTGCACTTGCGGCTTTTCGTTCTGAAAATAAATACATTACTCAATACAAAACATACATTACATAATAAAAGTACTCTGGCATTTCTTTTTTCACAACGTTTTTCTCTTGAAGTTGTTGTTAATGTTTATAATATGGAAAACAAATACATGTTTTATCTTTTTTGTTGATGCTTTGTTCAATAAGAAATTATTGACGAAAATTATTATTTTACTGGGGTTTTCTTCTGTATTGTGCGGTCAGTTTACATACACAAATAATGACAAATAATGCGTAGTCCATAATATGCAGTATTCGAACCGCGGTAACAACGGTGACAAAATTACTCTGACAATTTTTCTTTATCTAACAAATACTAATTTACGAAAAATATGTTTAATTATGCTCCACCAAATCTAAGAATAAAAAAAACAGTTATTCAGTTTTGCCGTCAAGAAATTATCAGTATCTGCCCGGAGTCTGGAAGTTGGCGGTGTCTCACCCCTGTGTCTCGGAAAACACGTAAAGCCGTTGTGGTCCTGCGCCTGATCTTTCTCCGGTCGTGTCGGTTTAGCATCCCATCGGACTATGAGAGTGCGGCAATAGAGATTTAACCTTTGCTTGCACATACACTTAGGCACTATAATCCTGTCCTGTGCCGATGGCTAGTCTCCGTTGAGGTTGGCCACCGTGACCGAAATTCGGTCTGAAGTACATTAATATTATTATCATTACATTTGTCAATTTTTTACAACAGAGAAGCTCATCCGCAGCTGGGTATTTAACCTTAATGTCGTTTTGCCGAGAGCAACCTACGTTTGATCCATGATAGCACCATTTCAGTGTTAATTTACCATGTCTAAGTGAAGAAAACGAACACACCTGTGACATTTAAAATATAATTAAAAGAAACGTGAATTCACCATGTGAACAACGGCGGCCTCTCCTGATTTATAACCCTCTAAAGAATAGATAACAGTCTCAACAATAATACATAGTTTATAGGCCGTATCTTTATCAATCTAAAGCCATATTCTTTATCATCTAAATACATATTGGCCGACCGACCGACACTGTTCCGAAGTGAAACGGGACGTAATAAGCGATCCCTAGTGGTGGCGAGGCACGCCAAATGAACCGTATACGTTGGCTCTCGCCTGGCACTAGGCTAGCTAGGCGAGAGATGAGCATTGGCGAGGCTAGGCAAATGTTCTGTCCATATGTTGGTACTCGCCTCCGCTTGGCTAACATGTATAGCCGTTATAAAAACGCACCTTTCGTTTCCTCTTCTTGCCCCTCGAGTTGGAATCGTTCTCCGCGGCGATGCCTTGTATGATGGCGTTTATCTGTAGTTCTTGTGAGTCGTGCAAGGGCAATGCGGCGACGCTGGTCTCGGCTCGGCTTGCAACTACGTTGCTAGGACTATCCGGCGGAGGTGATGGTGAACGAGGCATCTTGCTGCCCATTGTTGTATACGCATCTGAAATAGTTGTAAAAATAATGTTTCATTGTTTTTTTTTCTTAATTTGGTATAATGTTCTTTGAAGTATTTTTTTCAAGAGTACTAACTAACAATGCTCATTGATACATTACAGCCTATCAAAAGTTAAATCAAAAAACAGCTAAACAAAGACCTCCCCCCTAGATTGCCTCATAGGGGAGAAATATGTCAAAGTTGCCACACTTGGCATACGGATGGGATGCTATTAAAAAGATGCTGCTGCCCACAACTGTTTCATTTCCCTCTGTCACCTCTAATGAAGCATTACCTTTTTCGGTAAAATAATTGCAGTCAATAAGTGTGGCCAGTCTTAATTTTAAATTTAAAAAAATGAAATATTTTTCAACCTACTTCAAAAAAGGAGGAGGTTCTTCATTCGACTGTATTTTTTTATGTGTTACAACTGGACTTTTTTCTAAGTGAACCAATTTTGATGACTTTTTTTATTTAAAAGCTGTTGCTTCTCATGTGGTCTCATATGAAAAGAATTATATCGAGATTTATCGTATCGATATATCGTCATGTTTTGCATGATGTAGTAGGATGAGGGTCAAAATGTTATTAATGGACGTTTTGACGACGAAAAGAAACAGCACATGAATGCTTTTGTAGTTGCTTTTGTTGCTTACTTGTTTTGTCTGCTGTTAAATTACATTGTCTATAACATAAATATATCGAAATTGATACTTAAAAACAAATATCGAATAAGGATATATCGCGATTAAAAATATCGACAACAAAAATCGATAATTTTGTGAGAAAATATCGCTATTTCGATATATCCGATATTTTTTACCAAGCCTTATCCCATATAAATTTGATCAAGATCTGACTAGTAGTTTTTGAGTTATCTTGACTTGGACTACATTGATGATGTCTCATTTTATTTATATTAAAGACGGTTGTACAAAATTTTTAATTTTAGCACTAGTTTTATTTTAAAACCTCCATTACAAAAGACATTCAAAATTCAGTAACAAAACTCCATAGTATTTACTACTTTGACTGGGTAGAAGTAGATTTTATCATAAATGATTAGCAGGAAGGTGCTGTTGCCCACTTCTTGGCTTAGATTCCCTCCGTCGGTGCTTACAATACCCATGGAATGAAGGGGGTAGTGGAATTCCTTACGCCGTCACTACACGCCACTTCCTCCTTGACGGAGGCTGATAATATAAAAATGAAGATAATGATACTAACCTCCATTGAGAAAAGGCTTGACAACAGGTGGTAAATTAGTAGGTGTAACTGGTGGAGCCGTTGCCACCGGTAGATTTATAGTAGGTCCCCCAGTATCCATATTTGGTGGGTCCTGGAAAAAGATTAAGTTGAAAATACAGATAACTGTATTACTCCTATACACCCTATGGCTAGGTAAACAACATAGTATTGATGTCAGTCCTATTCAGAAATTGGCATTCAGATATTTACTTTATCATACAGGGTTATTTTTCAAAAAGTAGCCAAATTTTAAACTTAAGTTCAAATATATATATAATGATATACCGTTATTGCAGTTTTTGGAAATACGAGTAAATAAGGCTTCTGACTTTTGCCAGAAATTATCCCAAATTTTCTTCACCATTTGCCTATATATTACTTATTCTGAACCTACTCTGCAAATTTGGCCGGTTATTGTAAAATAACCTAATATCTCATAATACTTTTTTTGTAGAATTTGACAGATGCCGATAAACCAGCAATAAAAAAAATCCTTGTCCAAAATGCGTAGACCAGTGAAAGGAAACAGTATTTTGGAGTAGTGATTAAAATACCTATTTATTGGTAACTTATTCTTTTCCTTCTTCATAATCAGCCTGTAAACGTCCACTGCTGAGAAGGGCCGCTCCCATTGTTGGGAGAATTTGCCTAAATATCATGCTTAGCAGGTGGATAGACAATATAACTGTAGACGTCTCACATCTTGACACAGGTCCTCTTCGCCGGTCTGATATTTTACGCCTGACGTAAACGAGACAGACGGTTATACTTTGCATTCTTAAGCCACTACACTACACAGCAAATTTATTTATAACACAATCTACGCTATCTAAATGACTTTTTGTCTGTTGTTTTCTTGGATTCTACATTGTTTGATACAAACTAAGTTTTTCACAAAAATAAAAACCTTCCACACTCAACAGTGTCTAATATTCCATTGTTAGACAAAGGTATCTGAATTGGGAGAATTTATTTTCATGACTTTTAATAGCCATCAATATTTCTTTTTTCTTAGTTAACACTTCGAAAATTCTAAGAATGAAATATAATAATGGATATTTCTGTAACACTTCTGCCATACAGAAATTTCTGTTAATAACTGCAAGATATAGGAGTTGGTACAAGTTTTGGACGTTTGACAGTTTTCTTTGGCTTCTTAGAGTAAGTTTATTTTTTAGTCAATTACATGTTTATATTCGTCGAACTTGTATAGTGCTTGTACAAATCAATCAGGAAGTTGGGATTGCATGAGAGCCCCAAACATAATACGAGACAGTCAGCATTCACAATTAATATATATTTTTTTCTGTATGTACTACATGTTTAAAGTTTTTAATAAAATTATTATTATTATAGTTTTCTATATATAATAGAGTATAATATAACAAAGCCTTGCCCTAAAACCCAAATGAGATGAGGCCTGTGTGCCCAGCAGTGCTATTATAAACAGATATTGAAAATCATACCTCAGGCGGGCGTCCAGACGGCATATCCGAGGGTACGGGCGCGAGCGGCGAGGCCGGGCGACGCGCGGTGATGGGCGAAAGCGGCGCGGCGGGCGGGGCGGCGGGCGGCGGCGCGGGCAGCGGGGCGGGCTGCGGCGCGGGCTGCGGCGCGGGGGACGAGGGCCGGCGCGCCACCACGTGCTGCGGCAGCGGGCCGGCCTTGCGCTTGGGCGGCACCGTGCGGGGACTCTCCACACCGCGCTTCCCCCCTGCCCCGCCGCCGGCGCCGCCGCGAACTGCTCCCATCGGGTCAATATCCGCCTCGTCCACCATCATACGCTGAAAATGACAAGAATCTGTGTTATTATCACTTGTATATAGGCTGGCGCACAGACTTAGATTGAAATTGCTACAAGTCTTCTAGGTGTGGCAGAAGTTTAACACACATTTGCAGTTTGCGATACAATATCGGTTTTTCTGCACACACAAGTGGACATAGCTCCACATTTGAGCGGCTTGCCCACACATGTGCCGCTGATCAGAATAGTTGTGAGTGTCAGCAATGGAGTAATGATGCTGTTATCGAAAATTAATAAGCAAGGATATTAAATTATCTATACAGGTAGGTAAATTGAGATCATTGAGATTTATACAAATTGATACAAACTAATCTGTTGCAGTAGCAGATTTCGCAGAGTTGACGTTTTGTTTGAAATGAGCATTCATTAATTTATTCCTAGTAACTTATAAAAGCCTTATTTAAAATTAATCTTAATCTAAATCCTTTATATACATTAAAATGTCCTTTTTCTATAAACATTTATCATTTACATAATGACAGTACAATACTACAAGGCTTGAAGACCATAAGAATTTAGGCATTTATTAGTTATGTCAGTTATATAACATAAGCTTTATTTTTACACTATATACAAAAAAACATAATGCCACAAGGTACTTTCTACCAGTTACAGAACACACCGGAAAATATAAAGATTTGCACAAAAAAATGTTGAAAAAATTTATAATATCATTTTACAGAATAAATGATAATTTATAATATTATGTAGATTGGACAAAAATTTAATGGTTGGTAGTCTCCATTGCTTACTAAATTACTTCGTATAAAAGAATATTTACAGTTATTGCACTTTATGATAAAATAAACATTAATGTGATAATATATAAATAAAATTATTTCCACAGTTTCATTTACTTTCATTTGGTATAACTTTTAAAAACTACATAAATTGTTAACAAAATCATATAAAAGCAAAGTACAATATGCTAACATGTTACATGTCAGCTATGTTATTTCTATTACGAATATTAGGACTCTACCTCCCACAGGGTTTGCTAATAATAGAGTATCTTGGGACAACTGATCAATACAGAGCTGTTTTTGTGATCACGTAAACATGTATTCTTATTTCATTTTAAGTGTGCTATTTTATTCACACAATATAGGTATTCAATAATATACAATATTACAATAATTATAGTACAAGTAATTTATACAAAATTACATGCAAAATTTTCAGGTCATAAGCAAGTTCAGGTTGCATACATCCCTTTCTGCCTCCTATTTAAAAAATTGTAATTTAATTAGATTAATATAGATTATTAATAAATATGAGTATTAATTTTATCTTATATCATATATATTAATATAAATGAGTGAGTATAAATAATATAAGTTACATTTATTAAAAACACTTTTAGATTTAAATTGGTTAATCAGGGTTTCAAACGATTTCTTGTTATATAACATTACTGAAATAATTAATTTACGCAAAATATGTTATCAAGATAAATGCAGGCCTATTTATTTACTAGCTCAATTGTCTATTCGTCGCTAAAATAAAATGCGGATATCAAATGATAATACTTGTAAAGGAGATTTATATTTTTATGTACTTTGCCTGTACTTGCATAGTATTAAAGTTTGTAGATATGAATTAAATATTACAATAGATACTCCAAATTAGCAACTACACATTTGACTAAAAGAGATTGTTGCTTATAGATGTACTTTCTTGAGTTCGTGTTAACGTGTATTGAACTTCTTAACAGTAACACTATGCCTATCAAGTTATTAATCTTTTCGATTTTACTGATTTTTATCGAAAGTATATTTTCTGGGGTAGTGTCATATATATTTCAACCAGAATAATCCATAATGAAGTAGATTTCGTAAAATGTTTTGTCTTCAGGCCTTACAAGGTAGTAAAAACAAAAATATTAAGTACCTTATCAATTTTGAATGGATTGCCAAACATATGCTGCCTGACGGGTTGAGACTCGATCTCTCGCAACTGAGGCGTCATTCTCTTTAAGTACTCTTGATAATTGCCCATTTGTGCCACCGGCATTGAATGCACACTATCCTCGTCAACAAGACGCGTATGCGCTAGGGATGGTTGAAGGAAGTTTGCGCGCATACGCACCACCTGGAAATGTTAAATAAAAATTTAAAATAGTGATTTACATAGTGGCCTTATGGTGTAAGTAAATACATCACACCCAGACCCCCGTCTCTTCTAGTTTATCGTAAAAGGTATAAGGGGACCTCAAATAAAAATTAAATTGTATTGTCTGTGCAACACAATTTTATTTATATACAACATTGCGTAAAATAACGGTTTGTGCATGTAAAAAATATAAAGCGTACAGAAGATTTACAGTTCAGGCTCCTAATCTATTTGAACATCCTTTTAGTTTTAGTAAGTATTCATTAATATTGTTTCTAAAGGTAATTAAAATATTCGGCGGCTCCGTGACGCAGTGGCTTAGCAATGAGATGCAGCGTTAAGGATCGCCGGTTCGAATCCCGTACAGAACAAACATTTGTATGTCCTACAAATAATTCTTCCGGGTTTGGATATTTGTCCTTGTGAAATTTATGTATATAAACTACCGTCACGATATAGGAGAAAATTATAGTGTTGAGGTAACGTTTTTTTATATATATATATATATATATATATATATATATATATATATATATATATATATATATATATATATATATAATTTTATTTTATTTTATGATGACATAAGCATAAGGATTTACATAACGGGAATTTGAACAAGTCCACAGCTGCCTATATATTTGCCTGCCATGTTTGGCTTGGTTAAACCGCAGTTTTATTCAGATGATATTGTAGAGATTTCAGTTTTCCTCGATCTTCTTTTACGATACCCATTGGGCAATATGGAGAAGTGGATACTCCTCTACGCCGCCTTTACACGACAATAGTATGTAATATAATCTGAATGTTAAAAAAAAAGTTTTTTTTTTTTAATTTTATGCATTCTATTTTCTCGGTCTTAACTATTTGATTCAGTATGTTCAGCATTCCCTGAGCAATCAAGGAACGAAAAGCGCTTAAATTATTAATGAATATAATACTAACTACAATTAAATATATCTCACCTGATCCAATAGATCCCGCCTTTGTATATCGAAAGGATTTCTGTATGTATGCGCCTGCGCCTTGTGTCTGCCTCGCGATAATCCCACTACAAAACCACCAAACTCATTGAGCTGATCCCGCAATGCCGTAAACTTATCTTGTAAACATGGATGAGATGTCAAATCCTTCTTCAATGGTGATCTAGGCATTACACGAACACTTTCTGTCACCTGAAAATTAAGTACATCAAAGTATAATAAGTGGCATAATAATTTTATTAAGTATATTAATTAAAAACTAGCCTAAGCTTGGATACTTAGATACATTTGCATTGAAATAATGTTATATTATTTAATTATAATTACCTTTTGACTATTTCCAGAAGAAGCTTTGTTAATAACATCAGCACAAAGTTTCTCAAATTCCATTTTAGCTTGATTTTTCATCCTTTTTAAATAATTCAGAACAGAGAAGCTGAGAGAATTATCTTGCGTGTCAGGAATTAGGCTTTGAACTAGTGGCGCAGATGCACCCATTTTTGTCAGTGCTCTACGTAAAGGCTGAAATTTTACAAATTAGTTACTTTTTTCTTATTGGAATTTTGTTAGACGATAATGGGCTTAAAATAAAGGTGTTGAAGTTTTGAATTCAATGACAATTGAAGTCACATTTACTCAAAACAAAAAGAGGTAAAATTAAAATTTTTGTACAACAGAATATAAATTATGAAGGATAAAACTCAAAAGGTCAGACCTTGATCAAATTTATATGGGATCACATGGGAAGCACCAGCTTTCAAATAAAAAAGAACCTTCGAAATCGGTTCATCAAGAAAAGAGTTATGAGATAACACACATTAAAAAAACATACAGTCGAATTGAATACCTCATCCTTTTTGAAGTCTTTGGAAAATTATATGGTTTTCAGATAAAAATATATTTAAAAGCTTTTACAAAAATTTACTTCGCAAATATCCGCGTTATAAAATAAAATGATGTGTCTTACCTAGTATGAAGAAGCACCTCCCGCCCTCCCTCAATTGCGTGCACTAACCCCGTCACCACTAATCCCAGCACCGCTACTTCCAACACCACTACACTAGGCAAGACACACCACTGACGATAATACGACACGTGTTTCGCCTCTACACGAGGCATCCTCAGGTGATATAGACTCTACGGTGGCTAACCGCTAAGTGAGCGGCGAGCCAAAACAAGTGCCTTTTATACAAACCGATGATGCAACCGCTCTCTACCTAACGAGCGAGCGATTGCGTCATGCGATAAAACATGCGACCAATCACCGCTGGACTTACGCAGCCGTTTGTAAAATTAAAAACAAACCGCCGCGCAACGCCCACATTATTAGTGAGCAGGCTTGAAGATATTTAAGAGAGGTGAGTTAGTAACATTTGTTTGTTCATTCAGCAATGCAACGGTATTATTATTACTTTTTAATATCTCTAACTGTTCCAGCACACACAGACGCAGCCCTTTATTACACGTATGTAAGACTTTAAAGGAGTGGTCGTTGGCTAGGTTGTGTCCAGTGTCCAAAAGATGTTTGGCAAAATGGGATTTATCGGGATTGCAATTCCTGTACGCGGCTAAATGCTCTTTATAACGTGTCTCGAAATTGCGACCAGTCTGACCCACGTAAACGGCGTGGCATTCGTCACAAACAAGTTTGTAAACACCTGACTTTTGACGAATATCTAACTTATCTTTACTATTACAGATATTTCTAAGAGAATTGTTTGTTTTGAACGAAACATGAACGCCGTTTTGTCGAAGAGTATTAGCTACTTTTTCAGATATGGGGCCTAAGTAGGTCAAACTGCTCACATATCGATGAACACTTTGAGGTTGAACCGCGTACAGAGAGTTGCGAATAACATGCTTTTGTTTCTTTTTAATTAAATTGTTAATGAGATTTTTTGAAAAACCGTTCATCGATATGTGAGCAGTTTGACCTACTTAGGCCCCATATCTGAAAAAGTAGCTAATACTCTTCGACAAAACGGCGTTCATGTGGCGTTCAAAACAAACAATTCTCTTAGAAATATCTGTAATAGTAAAGATAAGTTAGATATTCGTCAAAAGTCAGGTGTTTACAAACTTGTTTGTGACGAATGCCACGCCGTTTACGTGGGTCAGACTGGTCGCAATTTCGAGACACGTTATAAAGAGCATTTAGCCGCGTACAGGAATTGCAATCCCGATAAATCCCATTTTGCCAAACATCTTTTGGACACTGGACACAACCTAGCCAACGACCACTCCTTTAAAGTCTTACATACGTGTAATAAAGGGCTGCGTCTGTGTGTGCTGGAACAGTTAGAGATATTAAAAAGTAATAATAATACCGTTGCATTGCTGAATGAACAAACAAATGTTACTAACTCACCTCTCTTAAATATCTTCAAGCCTGCTCACTAATAATGTGGGCGTTGCGCGGCGGTTTGTTTTTAATTTTACAAACGGCTGCGTAAGTCCAGCGGTGATTGGTCGCATGTTTTATCGCATGACGCAATCGCTCGCTCGTTAGGTAGAGAGCGGTTGCATCATCGGTTTGTATAAAAGGCACTTGTTTTGGCTCGCCGCTCACTTAGCGGTTAGCCACCGTAGAGTCTATATCACCTGAGGATGCCTCGTGTAGAGGCGAAACACGTGTCGTATTATCGTCAGTGGTGTGTCTTGCCTAGTGTAGTGGTGTTGGAAGTAGCGGTGCTGGGATTAGTGGTGACGGGGTTAGTGCACGCAATTGAGGGAGGGCGGGAGGTGCTTCTTCATACTAGGTAAGACACATCATTTTATTTTATAACGCGGATATTTGCGAAGTAAATTTTTGTAAAAGCTTTTATATAATGGATTTCCGCAAAGTAACGCCTGATTCTATTAATTATAAAAAATATATTTAACTATCCAATGCCTGATAAGCTCAGGCTTAGCAGTTACCGACTTTTACAGCACACGAGCAATCAGGTTTTCATCTGATACCCGCCGGAATCATAGATAATATGGTGAATTGCAAAATTAAGTGCCGCTTTACTATGTGTTCAACAATGAGGAAACCTATGTGTAAGTAATTAAACATTGTTGGAGGACATGCGAAATCTGATAAGAACTCAATAAAAAAAACTGTAGATGGCAGTCAGCCTCCAAAGCTTGGTAACTCTGGCAAATATCCTCCCTGAGAGACAATCCATGGCCGAGGCCTATGTTCAGCAGTGGACTAGGAAAGGTTGTTACAATGATGATGATGATGATGAATTAATTATAATAAAAATGTATTAAATCAATCAAATCATATGTTGAATAATCTTTTCTTTTAATTTTTGTTTTAGAAATGCACTGATTAACATATTATAGCTACATAATTGATTAGTTAAGGATGTTTTTATGCAGAATATTATGTGATTTAACAGAAATGAGGGCTAATAATTTTCTACTCACCAGATGTCGCTAGTTGACACTGAGGTACAAGTTTTTTGTTATACGGTGTAATTTAATTGAGAAGTTGGTTTTTAATAAAAGTTTATCAGTTTCTAGAGTATTAAATTAAAACACAAAACGATGTGTCAGTAGTTTGCTCTTTAATTTTTTTGCACATTTAACTTTTTTTTTAATTTTTCTACTTTTATGAATATATGTTGTTTGGATTATTTATTTTTAATCTTATTAATATAAAATATAGCTAGGAGTACAGAAAGAGACAACAACTTTATATTTTCCGAATAAATTAACTTCCACACTATGAAATCTGTCAAATATTATACCTCACTTTCTAGTGCCACCACCCTGGTGGCAGATTACTATACCTTGAAACTGATAAACACAACCAACTCTAAAATATTTTGAGTTTACAAAGAAAGCTACTTTTTTTATTAATATAATAATAATTACTTACTGCAACATAGTATGATGGCATTCTATCCAAATACTGTTGAAACGCCATTTTCCATTCAGGTGTAGGTTTACATCTATGCACTTTAAACAAGTCATCAAGTAATGGCAAAAGCACTGGATAATTGTATGGTAGAACAAACAAATTAACACATGTTAGGTTTGTAGATGCCTTAAGGTAACCAAATGGATGACTGATTTCAGAGTTTTTGCAGCCACTGTTCGCTACAAATACCTTAAAAGGAAGTTAATTTTAAATATTAAGGTGTTTTGCACAAAATTAAAAGTAAGCCATTTGAATCAAACTTGACATTCATCAAATGTTTTGATAGTAAAGGTAAACATATTACATTTAAATATTGTACCCACCTGCCAGCATATAGTAGGTTGTTTCCTTGCTAATATAAACTGTGTGAGTGGACTGGGTTCTAACTCATATTTATCAAAAGGTAAATTGTCTATCACCATGGGTTCCTGACTCGAACATGTAAATTTTACAACAGGATGTGCTGATCGTGGCGGCTGAAAAGTAACAAACACAATCATATTACTTACTTACTATATATGTACTAGAATCTGGGCAGGGCACCACTCTCATACTCATTCCTGTCGCCTACCAGTAAAAGCAGTGACCAAGGATAACTACAGGCTGTGAGAAATTACTTCTTAGTCCTTAGAGGTAACAACGCATCTGTAGCCTTGTATGTTTCAAATTGTCTGTAAGTGTCCATGGACTACAATAGCTACCTACCATCAGGTGGACTGGAAGTCGATTGTCACTTGATTTAAAGAAAAATTACTGCCTTTAGAAAATGAAACAGATAAATGCTTACTAGTGCATTTTATTAAATCATAGTTTTATTGCTTTTTGTCTTTGTGTCTTCATTTTAATATTAAATACAAATTACTGTTAAGTGAGAACAGACTATTCCATAAATAATGCCATAGATGAGTGAGAAGAGAACATTTATTATAAAATTGCAATTTTTTTAGTAATTTTCAACAAGAATATACTTCTTTTTAAATTAAATACAATTATGTTACCTTTGTTTATTATCAGATAAGTGATAAGTTTATGTAAATTATGATTGCGTATGACCTTTTCTGTTGTCAAAATTTTAGTTTCTGGAATAGTCATACTAAATTAAGTAGTATTTCTTTAGTTTGTAACCACTCAACATAATTTTATTTAAAAATACTTTATAAAGTACACTATACTTACTAGTGATGGAGCATTGGGATCTGGTCGAAATGACTCTGGAATGGGCCAAAAACCAACAGCAAAACCTTTTTGAGAAACCGTGCGCGGCACATAGATCAGCCGGCGACATGAATGCCATGCCTGTGGTGTAGTAGAACCTTGGGTAGATGCGATATTAGACTGATATGGACCACCATTCCATCTCTAAAATAAAAAAAAATAGAAATTAAAACATAGAAAGGATGTAGAAATAATTGCCTTTTAATTAATTATTAAGTCACTTTATATTAAAAGTTGTTCCAAAAAAGCCCCAAAAATACTTTAACAAAACATATACTAAAGTAGTATGGCAATATTAATTTTTGAACTAATTTTTAAATAACTTCTTTAAATGAAATAAAATTACATAGTTCTGTGCCATTAGAATATTAATTCAAAAAAATCACATACTTCTTACTAGAACAAATTTAACAGATTCTAAAAATTATTAAGGCCATTTTATATTTTATTACTTATATTTACACTCACTCCATTCCTATCTCCTTCCCCCTCAATATCTTTATCTGCTTCATGACTTATATCTTCAGTTTGTTCAGTTCCATCTCTGTTGGTGCTACCATCAATGGGTGGTGGATCGGGGCCAATTTTTTCGAAGTTAATAACCACTCCACTTTGCACCTTCTGTACCAAGCTATCAATGCATTGCATAAGCATGCGATGGGATGTAATGCAGTAAGATCGACCTAAAAGTTGAAATTAAATTGCAATGCCAAATAGTAAAAATGTAAGATAAAATAGATAACCCAGACAATATACACTTTAGTAATAAGAAGTGACATTTAATGTAAAAGATATTTTCAAACATATGTGAATTTCTTACGAAGGAAGCTACCACTTATTATGTTGGTCTCAACTAATAGGTCCCATGTTTATTTTTTTTTTTTTTTTTTTTTATAGGAGAGGGGGCAAACGAGCATGCGGCTCACCTGATGGTAAGTGACTACCGCCGCCCATGAACAACCGCAACACCAGGGGAATTGCAGATGCGTTGCCGGCCTTTTAAAAAGGAGTAGGCTCTTTTCTTGAAGGTCCCTAAGTCGTATCGGTCCGGAAAAATCGCTGATGGTAATCGATTCCACAAGGAAGTCGTGCGAGGAAGAAAACATCTTCCAAATCGCACAGTGGTGGACCGCCAATCATCCAGATGGTGTGGATGGTATAGGGAGTTCTGCCGCGATGTGCGTTCATGAAATTTGGCGGCTGGGATTAATCCGAACAATTCCTCAGAGCACTCCCCATGGTAGATGCGAAAGAAAATGCAAAGAGATGCAACATCTCTTCGCAGTGCCAATGAATCGAGCCGATCGGAAAGGGCTCGGTCGTCGACGATTCGAGCCGCTCTGCGCTGGATGCGGTCAAGTGGAAGGAGCTGGCACTGGGGAGCCCCTGCCCAGAGATGGGAACAGTATTCCATGTGAGGCCGAACCTGCGCCTTGTAAAGTTGCAGGCGGTGTGCCGGCATGAAATACTGTCCCGCTCTGCTGAGCACGCCAAGCTTTTTAGAGGCCAATTTGGCCTTCTCTTCCAAGTGACCACGAAACTGCACGTCACTCGATATGTCGACTCCGAGGATACCGATACTGGCTGAGGCAAGAAGAGGAGTGCCTTGAAACTGAGGAGATACGACAAAGGGGTTCTTTTTAGCGGTAAACGCGCAAACTTGACGAGACTAAAATAAAAAAAGAATGCGCAAACTGTGTTATTTGCCTAGCATGTCCTAAAATGCGACCAATGGGATGTTGCCTTTGTGCTACTGTAGGCGATGGGCTAGCAACGTTCTTTCACAATTTTTATCTATACCCACATTTTTTTGCTAAACATGGTCCAAGTAGCTACTGCTCTTTGGACTCTGCATACCTCCTCGTGGATTACAGGTGTGACGCTACCATTATTAGGTCACCAGCTAGTACAAAAAATTGTGTGTGACAGTGAATCAGTTAGAAGAATGGACTAGTTCTTAGTAGATCTTCACACACCTAACACCTGCACATCATCATCGGCAGAGATATGCTGATGCCTCGCAAATTTTAGCCAAAACTGAATATAAGTCACAAAATTTTATATCACCACAGGTTCCCACTACATCACGACCGTAACCATTTCGGTACATACCTGGTTAGAAATTGTATGATTTGCAAGATGTTGTAAACAGGATTAAGAAAAGAATGTTCTTTGTTGTATAAACATACATGCAGTGCTGTCGACAAGAGATGATGGAAGTTTATCATCAAAATTGGTGAAGATGGGCCAAATTTACAGTACCCTTAACAGACAAGCATGTATACATAGATATGGATGTGAAAGAAGTGAGAGGTCAGAATCGTGTCAAATGGCAGTTCGTAGTCTACACTTATCCCTCTTTGTGTCAGGTGTGAGTTTGCAAATGGATATGTATGCAAGAAGAGCTTTTTCAGATTTTTATCTGCATCATTAAAAATTTAAAGATGACGGAACTAAATTAAGTCAACCGCTAAATACGGTGTAAGTGGAAAGTTGAGGTATTTGTCATGTTTATATGTCGTTAATATTTTGTTAATTGAATACACCTAAATTTAAGCAAGTAGTGAGTAATTTCAGTTTTTGTAAAACAAGGTATCACCAACCGCCAGTAGGTTAAGGTGCGTCAAAGTCGCGAACATTTTATATAACAAATAGAATAACACATAACTAAACATAAATTTAGCACACTAATCTTAAGTTTATTATTTATGTACTAATATTAGACGTAATTATATATAAGAGAAGTGCATATTTATACTCTATGTACTTTTCTATAAAATATTATATAGTATTTGGTAACATATTCATTATAATACATAACAGGCCTTTACAAGTCCACTGCTTAACATATGCTTCCCCAAAGGAATGCCACAAAGCACGGTCCTGAGCCACCGGCATCCATCGACTTCCTGCATGTCTTACCAGGTCGTCATTCCATCTAGTGGGGGTTGCCCTACACTTCGCCTACCGGTACGAGGCTGCCACTCGAGTAACTTTTTCCCCATTGGTTGTCGGTTCTTCGAGCTATATGGCCGGCCCATTGCCACTTCAGCTTACTAATCCTCATTTCTATAACTATAACTGCGGATATCCTCATTTCTAAATTTATCACGCAGAGAAACCCCGAGCATAGCCCCCTCCATAGCTCGCTGAGCGACCTTGAGTGTCCTCGTAGGGCCAGCAGTGAAGAACCACGTTTCAATTACATAAGTTATCACTGGCTAAACGCACTGGTTGTAGTCTCATTTTCAGGTTTTGAGGTATACCTGAGGAGAAGATGTGTCGTAGATCGTAGTTTCCCGAACACTGACCTCCTCGTCGAAGTTGGACTTACCTAGTCGGCATATTTGTCGAATCGGACATTAAACCTGATCTTTGTTTTGTCCATGTTCATCTTAAGACCTATCCGTTGGAAGATACTACTGATGTCATAGAGCATTGTGCTTAGGTCCTGCAGCGATTTTGCCATAAGGACTATATCGTCGGCAAATCGAAGGTGAGTGATGTACTCGCCATTAATGTTAATACCGTATCCTTTCCAGTCCAGTAGCTTGAAAACGTCTTTCAATGCAGCGGTGAAGAGTTTCAGGGATATAACGTCACCCTGTGAACCTCGGAGCTTCTGAAGGACTTCAAATACCGGTTTTTCACCCGCTTTCAGAAGCTCCGCTGTGATTCCATCCTCACCTGGGGCCTTGCCGTTTTTAAGGTGCTGGAGAGCCATTCTAATTTCGCTCAGACTGATATCCAGGATATCATCGAAATAGTATACGGTCGTTACTCACACTTGCGTGTGGCTCTAACGTTGACGTGTACAGCCCATAAAACCTCTCAATCTCACTCAAAATCGCAGGTGTCCGGAAAACGATGCTGGCACACTCGGCCTTCAGCTTTGACAGTTGGCTCTTTCTGGCAGATAGATCTCTGGCAAAGACTTTGGAGCCTTGGTTCCGCTCGATCGCTTCTTCAATACAAGCTGTATTGAATTGCGTAAGTCCCACCGCATGCATTTGGAGATCTGTCTGTTCAGATGCCTGTATGCTGTCAAGTCTGTTGAAGAATGTAGCTTCATCTCCCGTCTAACAGCCATGAGATTAAGAGTGTGATCGGAGAGTTTTTGTGTTCTTCTGCGGCGGGTATTGCAGAACTGAGCTCCGACCGCATTAACAGTTTCCAAGAGCTTATCATTCATATCGTCCACTTCATTGCAGTCTTCTAGGAACTGAAAATGGTTTTGTAACTCGAGCTGAAAGGTTTCGGGACTTCAGCCTAGAGCACGAGGGGGACGGAGCGTTGACTTCATAGACGAGACCTCTCCAACTTAACGTTTAGGTTCAGTGTGCCTCTAACCATTCGGTGATCGCTACCAGTTTTCACCCTCACGATCACTGAACAGTTGTCGTCTGGTCGTCATAATGAAGTCAGTCTCATTTTTTGTCGAACCGTCGGGGCTCAACCAGGTCCACTTCCTGCGGGTCCGCTTCTGAAAGAAAGAGTTCATCATAAAGAGTCCCTCTTTCTCCATGAAGTCGGCCAGCTGCTGGCCCCTTGGGTTCCGCTGCCCTATTCCAAATTTCCCTACTTTCAGCTCACCGCTCTTTTGTGCCTAATATTGCATTGAAGTCTCCCATTAACACTGTATAGTGAGTTTTGGAGGAATGCATAGCTTTAGAGATATCCTCATACATTTCCTCCACCTCCTCATCGGGATGTGAGGAGGTTGGTGCGTTAACTTGTATGACGTTCAACGTATTTGTTTAAGGTCATACATACCGTTTGGTGATTCTGAGTATAAGGTACACAACCCTCGTCGACACACTCACAATCTTTACAACATTGTTAACGAGTGACTTGTGGACGATAAATCCGACACCTCCTTGGGACAGATGGTCGCCCTCCCGGTGATAGAACAAGTTGCTGGATTCGAGAATTACCGTGTCCCTCCCTCTTCGGACCTCGGATAATCTCTTCTTCCAGCTCCAGAATCTTATCGTCAATTCTCAAGGTGCGTTCGTTGTATGTTGCCTGGTCGAGTTGTCTTAGGTGGCAACAGAACCTCCACCGGAGATTCTTAGCACCCCCTGCCCCGCCGTTACTATAGTCGCCACTGTAGCCAGGAATAGCAGGGCCGCCGGGGACTGGGGGCCGTCTCTTCGTAACTTTCATCATGGGAGGATAATTGCCATAGTTGCCACGGTTGGCGAGCGGGTTGGCAACCGCAGTTTTTTGTATTGTAATATTTCTGTTATCACGAAGAAGCCGCTGCCCATCTCCTGCCTGTTTCCCACTGTCGCCTCTTACGACACCCACGGGAAGATATGGGGTAGTGGATATTCTTAACTACCACTACACAGCGTATTATATTGAGATAAAATAAATACAATATAAGATTACTACATTACAAAGTAATTTACTTATAAAAATTATTACAAATAGACTAATCATTGTTTAAAGAATTGCCATTGTAGTATACCAAACCATATCATTTATTATGTGCATCACCTTTTATATCAGAAACATATTTCATCAAAGTTAATACTCAAACTTAATTTTCCCGTTATATGTGCTTTATATATACTCAGATTGAACTGAATTAACGTGCATTGAAAAATTAGCTTTCTTTCTAAAAATGCACTTTGATTTGAAAGTCGAACGAAAATTGCATTTGATTTTCATATTCAGCAGATATACATTAAAATATATTTGGTTTTTTTTACTTATTTTACGAGTGACATCAATCATTATAATCGTTATCAGCCTTGCAAAGTCCACAGTAGGACATAGGGTTCCCCCAAGGTACGCCACGTAGCCCAATCTATTGATGATCATCTTCGACATCAACATTAAAACAAAATTATGGCCCCAAATTTTAATTCATTTGGTACCGATGAATTCAAACAAAATTATGGCCACAAATATTTATTTAATTTAGTACCAATGAATTCAAACAAAATTATGGCCCCAAATTTGTATTTAATTTTGTCAAACATTAGAACATATGATGCTGTGATGCATTCGAAAAGCCGAAGAGAATGAAGTTATAAGGGCTCATAACTACTTTACATTTACTTTTATAATATAAATGTTCAAAAATATTGTGACCAAAAGTCGCTTATAAAACTTGCTTATCTACTTAGCTTTGTGAATAAAAATAATAATAAAATGATTCAATCAAGCTACTAGGGTAACCACTATTCTATACAATTGTCAGTATAACTATGAATGTATTTAAAGTTTTCCAAGGTAATATGTAAATTTTATTTACAAACTTAAAACAGGTTTTAAGCTTTTAAGAAAGGCCCTTATTACTATTCCTATGCAAATACATTTCTTTAATTCTGATAATGAGATGAAAACATGATGATAATGTTCTTGTGGCTATAATGATGGATTGGTGGGGTCATCAATATGCATAATTTTCAAATTGACCCTTTTTTCAAGTATTGTTCAAGTAATGGTGACTGAAAAGCCACGGTCAACGTCGGTATGTGTATGCTGTGGGCCATAGGCACCTACATCTATCCTTGATTAAAAACTAAAATGCATATGCATTGTCACCCCTAAGGATTAGGATAAAATGCCTTATTACCAGGAACTCTGTCTAGTGTCCCAAATCAACACAAAATTCAAATTAGAACGGGAATATGTTGGTTATTATGTTGATTGCTTCAATGATTTGAATTGAATTCTTGTCATATTTCCTTCTAATTTGTTTTGTTTAAAAAATTGTGATGGGTTACAATGCAGAACAAATATGATAAATATATCCTTGAGGGATATATTCATCATATTTTTTTATTTTCGCTACAAGAAAAGTGAAATGTGGCTTTGAAAATGGTTTTGACGTTAGTTTATTTGTCAGACTCTCTGTGAACTCTAGTGAAGTTTCATCACAGCGCCCCATTTGTTAGCTATGCATACGCATAATACATGAAATGAAAAGCTTGCAATACCGAAAGCATGGAGTAACATGTTACTAATCATAGCTTTGCTCCTATACTTATGAAAGACAAAAAAAATTGACAATAAAGATAACTGGGTTTTTTCGCAGTTTCTTCTCCGGTCAGGGGAACCTCGTTTCGAAACTGTTGTTAATTTGAAAAAATAAATTTTATTTTATTTTATATGTGGTTGACCCATGCTGCAGCTATATTTCTGGTATAGTTGTAACACAAATGGGTCAGCTCGACCGGGGAAGGAACACGCTCTCACAGAATACCAGCGTAAAATAGCAGCTTAATGCTATTTTACGCTGGTAAAATAGCTTTAAGCTATGGTATGGTGAGTGTAGAGAACCGGAGACCCTTTTTACTGGAAACGAGGCATTACATCTTAGTCCTCACGGGTGACAACGCATCTGCATTTTGATTCATAATCGAGGATAAAAAATGTAGATGTCTATGGGCCACAACAACCACTTACCATCAGGTGGACTGTGTGCTTGTTTGTCACCCTTATCCTATAAAAAAAAATACGTCGAAGAAATAAATGTATTTCATTTCATTTCAAAAAAAAAAATGTTTGTGAATATGGGCATAAGTATGTTTGAGACTTGACTGTTCATATTTACTTTTATATTACTATAACTTACCTGCAGACCAATGTTGTTCTGTGACTTATAAATCCCATTACACTAAGCCAACTCTTTTATTTGCCTAGCAAGTCGTAAAAGATGATTAAATTAGGCTTGTGATGGTGTAGGCAATGGGCTAGTCACCTATCACTTCTGTAAATTTTTCCATATATTTTGGCTTTAGTTGGAATATCTTGCTGCTTTTGAACTCTGACTAGCCCTTTGGAGATAACAGGAGTGAAACTATGTATGTATGTAACTTACCTCCAGTAACTTCACACATGGCATCTATAGGTGACGAATCAGAGGGTACTAGACCTGTGTCCCTCTCCACTGCAGGTGTACCTGATAGTCTTAGCACCAAGGAGAATAATCTTTGGTCCCATCGGAAAGGTTCTCGGGTTAATTCAGATCCAGGAATAGGGCAATTCATTGGCAGATTAAACTAAAAATGTACATGAAAATTAATCACCTTTATTAGGAAAGTAATAATCCACTTCTAAATCCAACAGAACTTCCTTAAATTAGAAGAAATAAATAGCTGTGCATCTTGCTTAGCCTTCATGTGTCATCAATTTCCCATTTGGTGAATAAAAATATAGAAAAATATTTTTATTTAAAAAATCGCAATCGATATTAGAAAAAATTCAAACAGAAATTTATTTGGTATATACTCTCTATCTATTAGATCCCAAATGCAATAAGTATCAGATGAAATCAGTTGCAAGACATTACAATTATTTTGAAATCGAAATATGCAATACATAAAGTTACATATCATAGGAATGTAAGCACACAAACCCACTGATACCCTATAAAACAGTAGAATCAAGCTATGTATCTCAAAATATGGAGATAATAATGAAAGGGTCATTACAACGGTAATTGGCTACCTCTGTAGTTTGTTAAAAAAATTACTTAATAGGTTTAATGACTTTTCTTTTACATATAAGTGAATTATTATTCTTAAATGCATGATGTGTTCTCCTATAAGCAGTTTTGCACTTAGTTTAAGACATATTGTAACTTGTATTTTTTATTCAAATCTATTGTGTTATTGGAGAATCTAATAATTTATTTATTATAAAACAAATTAAAAATGGGAAGTAAATAAATAAAGTACTCAAATTAACTTTTCTTTAATGTTTTCAATTTTTAATATCGAGAACAATCCTCATTGTCATTAACCCATAAAAGTCATATGCTAGACGTTAAAATCTTCCATAATAAGGAGGATCTGCTATAATTGCCAATTACAATAATTATTGAACCAAATAAAATCATATATAGCACCACTGGGACTGCTTCCTGAACAGTCTGGAGTGGAAACATTTATGTTTATATAACACCTTAAAAATTAAGGATAACAAACTCACAAGAAGTTTAAACACAAAACTGTATCAACTACAACAAAAACAACATTTGAGATAAGATATGGCAAGTATTTTAATGTTGCAAGAAGAGGCCAGCTAAATGATCACAGTGTTAGCTGCTTTTAGAAAAGTTAAAAATAAAGAAATCATTTGATATGATTAAGAATTGTTAAAAAATATTTTCAACACTGTAACATTGTAGTCCTTAACAGTGCATATTTAACATATTCATGTATCCATATTAAGAAATAAAGTACATAGGTTATTACTTTTTGCTAAAAATAGCAAATCTACTTAACATGAATATTCAAAATTTAAATATCTATTATTATATATTAAATGAATTCTTATTGTGAATTTGAAAACTAAATAGAACTAAATAATATATTGAATAACAATAAAATGTACATACATTTACCAATTATCTAATATTTTAGCAATGGATATAAAACATACTTACTTCCTCATGAATACCAGCATTGCTAGAAAGTTTTCCTCCATCAGTAATAACAACTATTACAGAAGGCTCAAGGTAAAATGGACATCTACCTTGGCCATATGTATCAATACCAGTTTGCATTCGGTTTATGTTTAGGACATCAAAAGCATGTTTTAGTGCTGCACCCATAGTAGTCAATCCAAGGCATTGTAAATTTTTCAATTCATTGATAAAAGTTGCTAAGTTTTCTTTCCAACCAGCCTGTAAGCATAATTAGAAATTATTTGTTCAATGTTTAATAAACATAGAGAAGTTGTTCGTGGTGTTTTCTTTCGTTAGTTTTTAATGTAAATTATCACAATTGACAATTGCAAACACATTTATCATAACAATAGTATTATCAATAATTTCATATTTCCCCCCAATTCGCCATTTCGTTGTAATTTGTGTCGACCAATAGAAGAGCGCCGAGAACGCAGTCGCGAGCGCTATCGCGAAGGCAGCAACGGCGGTGTATCTGTATCGTCCTGTTTACGTCGTTCAGTATATTTCACAGTAAATTTCGCACATTCAAAGTATGTAAATGTTCTGGGTAGCAGATAACAGTGCCCGAGGTATGGACTCCACCAAACCGGCGTTAATGATTGGTTGATGCACCAATAAGAAGAAAATCTTCGAAAATGTGTTCAAATCTAATATAACTAACCTTGATGTTCGCGGGTGGCTCTTCGAAAGTTAGAAGCATATATCTATCGCCTCTGCTTTCAGGAGAACGTTGCCGAACCTAAGAAATAAAATATTTCATCTTAACACACTAACCTGCGATAAACAAATCGATCACAAAAATGAAACGGTTGTAGAAAGAGTCGATGACACTGCACGTACCTTTACGAACGTTTCCACAGCGCCCTTGGCTACATCGAGCAACGTTGGGCGTCCCCCCAAATAAGCTCTTTGGTTCATAGAAGCTGATGTATCTATTAAAAAGACTATTATAGTCATCGTGAAATATTCGCTAAATATCCTAAATACATTAAAATATGTGCACGCTATTATGAACTAAGAACAAAAATGGCCGCTACATTGTACGCAGACTCGCTGAGAGGCAACCGTCCGACAGCCGCTTCGACGAGCAGCTGAACAAGCTACGCCACGAAGACTCCAAAAGTACCACGTGACCTAATCATACGTTCGGTTATTCTCGGCCCTAATAGAAAACGTTCGGCAACGATCGTAACAAAGCGGCAAAGTTGCCACTTTCGAGAAAACTGCCTCCCAAATGTTTACATCGTATGAGTTATAATATTATTATGACAGGTTTACATAATATTATAATTAGATGATTCAAGTACCCCAATATGAAGTTTTTAGTTAAATCAAACAAATGAGAAATTGTATCATGAAACTTCATGTTCATTGTTGTTATTTAAACAATCAATACTATTAAAACTAAGGTAATTTAAAAGGCTCCTTTCAGATTTCAAATGTACTATTAAAATAATTATCTGGCGATAAATTGAGTATATCATTTTTTATACTTAATATCATATCATTATTTAACATATTATTACTATTATTGATAGTATCATCGGCTCATTTGTATATTAGTATACATTTAAATATATGCAACTTTCTGTAACTCGTAATTACGAAGTAGTCTATGAATGAAAATTATTTTATGCATAAGTAAACATCGGCACAATGTATACAAATGTTTGTATAAAATTGGAAAAAGTTTTTTTATAGCAACACTTGGCTGTAAGTATATGTATTTAATGAGTATTGAAACGACTGGTTCAATTTTTAATACAATCAAACATTGCAATAAGTTATTTTTATTAATGTATTTAACATATTTATGATGATTATATAACACTATAATCATAATGTCTATATTATATGATGAAGCATCAAAAATTAACATGACATTCCAAAAATGCGCGGCAGTTTTAAATTTATGAAACCTTAGAGATGATATTGTAATATATGTCTATGAAACATTAAGTAGGTTGACTATCAAAGGATAAAAAAACGTGTTGAACTTGGTTGAACAGTGACTCAGACATTAAAATGGATCATAGCGCATGTATGTACCTCATAATAAAAACACATATTACAAATTAAAAAGACTACTCATTTTATTATGAATGTATATCATTTCTAAAACCTTATTAGTATAGTTCAGGCGTCTATTTAAGAACTATGATTTATTGCCACATTTTGATATAATGGCAATTTGTTTAACGTATTTGGCATTTTTTTTTTTGAGTTCTTAATAATTCAGACATAATATCGCAGAGTTAATCATAGGCTGACCGAGTGAAGCCGGCCACAGTCGAGCGTGTGCCTGCTGTACTACCCTATGTCAGAGAAGTCACAGACAAGATTGTATATGTATATCTTAAAGCGAGCTTCTATTAAAACTTACTTCAAGCCACCGAAGAAGGTGGATTGTGAATTTGGTCTCTCTTACATAGGACAAACAAAAAGATCTATAAAAGAACATACAGCTGGCTTCAAGCACCGATGTTTCGGGAAGTCTGCAGTTTGTAAACATGTTCCAGATCGTCCCCACCATTACATTAGATTTGATAGACCACAAATCCTCACAAAAGAACACCGATTCCTACCAAGGATGTTTCGTGAGGCTATTGAAATTTAAAAAACATCTTAATTTCAATAGACAAGATAGATGGGCGCTGCCATCTGCTTGGGATCCTATAATTAATAAAATTAAATCCAAGCCCAAATATACCACTGTAAGACTTCAAGATACTGTAAGCTCATTCTGGGTAGATAGGACCAAAAATTAGTATTCAAAAATTAAAGACCATGGGTGCTGTAAAGTACCCACAACGACGGGAATTAAAAAGTTAAATGAAACGATAGAATCCGTAAAAATTAGTTTCATTAGGTTTCATAGGCTTTAGTTTCACTTTAATCTGATCGTTTTCAGCCAATTCTTGAAATCTGGATTCTCAAACCATGAACTTTTATTTTTTGCATGTATTTTTTTCTTTAATTGATGGTCCTTTGTCGGTGTGAGAGGTCACAAGATAAGATGACAAAAGAAATCAATTACAGTTAATTTATAATGTAAAAAAATAATGAGTATTAACTTATAGTAATTTGTCGAATAATAATGTGTTAGGAACTTCGGAACGGCGAAGTCATGTTAAAATAGTGTTACCACCTTTACATTATTTTTATTATTCAATTTTACGCCAAATTACCCTAAATCCGTAAAAATATAAAATTGCCCTAAACCGTATTTTAAATGAGCGGTTTCGCCCTAAAAAAGGGCGAAATCCTTAAAAGTCGAAACACTGCCGGTAGGTCCCATCGGATAATGAAAGTGGAGGAATAGAGAGTGCACCTGTGTTTGTGCAGAAAGTAATGCACTATAAAATCCTGTTCTGTGCAGATGGCCAGCCTCCGTTGAGCCAAAGGAATAGAGATACTACTCTCTAACAAGATGTTCATACTGACCGACCTGACTAAAATTTGGTCTGGACTTAAAATATATATATAAGAGTATTTTTCAAAATAATTGTACCTTTTCGAAATAAAGTATTTCACTAACATTTAAACATTATTTTAAAATGTGTAGGTGGTGGTCTTCCATTTTTTCTTATCAATAAAAATAGCTTAGCACTTCATTCATTATCAAAACGATATTAGAATGTTCTACTTCGTCCTAATTATTTATTAGCATTTTTTTCTTACACCTTGCCTTTTAATCTTTATACAAATATGAAATGTCAATGCTACTCCCCACAAGATTCCCGCCTCACTACATAAAGTTCTTTTACGTTGTTTTATTTTTTACAATATTCATCTTTTATAGTAAATTCTAATCTATTCGGTATAATAACAAATTTTTAAGATTTACTAATTAAAAAAAAACAAGAAATTGCAATAATAACATGTCACAACTTTTTTACAATTTCGTTATACAAGCTTAGTAACACTAATTGCTTAATCGTGTATTCACTTTCTGAACACATTCTGATCTTAATATACTAGCAGCACTCGGCCATCTCTGACTGGTCAATTTTTAGCTGTACCTGCCATATTGAATTTAAAAGAAAACAAGACTTGAAGCTTACGCCTTGTGCTTAAATAATATTCTAACAATTTAGTAACGGTTGACTTTTCTTATGGGTATTTTAAATTTTTTATATATTTAATGCTTCATATGTACAACAGACTGATATATCGTAACATATGCTTTCATTTAAACGATAAACTTGACGGTTTGATGTAAAAACTAATTTAACGTTACTTTTCATTAACAATTTCGTAACTTTTCGTTTTGTTACGAAATTGAATAGTCTTAAGTAACGTATACACTGGTATAGTAGTAGTGATAAGCATTATAAGGTAGGTGAGTAAATTAAGCCCTTTTGCACATTATAAGAAAATTTCTTGTGTCTTATGAGAAATGTCTTATAAGAAATTCAGTGACATTGGTTGTTATATGAGACCACACATACTATAAGATTTTTTTCTTATGTCGCATCAGATGATCAGACACACGCACTCTAGTCATTTTGTCGGCAGCACGTTCGATGTCGCTCCTACACAAGACGTCTTGCTTAGACACGACGTTTACTCAACTATGTAAAAGGTGAGTAGATGAAAATTAATGGGATGGAGGAAGAGTTACAGATTAAGAATGATAAAGAGCAGGATGAAATTCAGATTGGCGAGACAGATAAAGAGGTACTAGCAAATAAGGGTAATAGAGGGGAAGAAATACAGATTTATGATTTACAAAAAGAGCCAGAGATGAGTAATGAAGAAAAGGGAACAAAGCGGTAATAATCTGATACTGCGGAAAATGAAATATTTAATATAGAAGATACTGTACTATTACGAAATTATATGGGACATTCTTGGAAATATTATGTTGGCATAATTGAACATATCAATGTAGCAGAAACATTATACACAATATCTTTTTTTTAAACTATCGGTAAAAAAGACAAATTAAAGTTCCGTAAAACAAAAGCTTTTAAAAAATTTACTACGCAAACATCCGCGCTAAAAGTAAAAATTTTTTAAAATCTTTTATATAATGGATTTCCGCAAAGTAACGCCTGATTCTATTAATTATATTCCGTACAACAATCCGTGAGGATAAATAAGGACACGGTACCCAAAGATTTAATTCTAAAACATATTAAAATGCTTCAAATATCGGAAAACTCCGTTGAATATGTATTATATTGCGACGAAGATCTGATTTATTTTTAATAATATAACGTAAAAAATTGGATAAATTTAAATAAAAAGAGTATAATTAATCAAGTAATGGTGTTTTATTGATAATTTGGGAGTTATGTTGGTAGAGTCGTAATTCAGACACATAGGTACACATAATGTCACTTGACCACAAACTGACAATATAATTCTAGAAGTATTTATCACAACCCTTTTTTGCTATACGTAGTAGGATAATCAGTAATGCGGAATACTTCAATAGTCAGTGTACACGTGGCTTAATAGTTACAATTTAGTAACAATTACAACGATTTCGTTACTTTTTTCGTAACTACAATTTCGATACGTACAATTATTTTGAAAAACACTTATAAGCGAAATACCACTGACTGACTCATCACGAAATCTCTAAAACTATACACCCGATTGGCTTGAAATTTAGTATAGTTACTCATTTTTCAATGTACACGCTCGCTAAGAACGGATTTTACGATATTCCCATAAAAAAATTAATAGGTTCCGCAATAAAATATTATCGTGGGCCCAGCAAAACGAGCGGGTATCAGCTAGTAGGTAATAAAGATGGAGCCTGTGGATCAGTGGCGGATTTACCAGCAGGCTGAGTAGGCTGGAGCCTAGGGCGGCAGATTTTAAGGGCGGCGAATTTGGGGCTAAAACTTTTTCATTTTTCACTTGGTTAATAAATTTTCCTACAATTTGCGTTTCGTTGTGGCGCGGAAACTAGTGACATGACCGTTCGCTAAGTGTGTTTGATC